AGCATATGAATATAAAACAGAATATAAGGAGAACACAAATTAAATTGATATTGAAAAGTAATAATTGGCATATAAGTAATGTACAAGTATAGGCTATTATACGACCCATAGAACGAATAGCAAGTGATTGAGCAAATGTAGATGATGAAGAAAATTTCGTTGAATTACATAGACAATCTAAAAGTACATCTCTTAATCGATTTTGTTTTTTATTTCAAAATTCAAATATTTACGAATAGCAATTGTTGACCATAGACCGATAACAATTCCAAACGAAAAAAATAAAATATATTTTATCATTAATGGTGATATATCAGTTGTAGTCTGACCTCGACTTAATAATAATAATCCCATGGTTGCAAAATGTAGAAGTGTTGTAAAAGATACAGAAGTCTAAATAAATAAAAGAATACGTAACTCGAATTTAGCTTTTTTATTTTTAAAATCATGTTATATCTACCATAATTGAAATGCGTTTAATTACAAAGGCAATTAAGGTACTTGATATCGCTCCTCCCAATCCATAAATAATTATCATTTCAACTGTATGTCGAAGACCAAAAAGACATGTTACATCAAACTAAAATATATATATAGTTGTATGAATACTAATTATTAGTGTTCTTATATGAAGTTATTATTTATTACTTTTATAATACTACCAAAGAGGTAACCCTCTTGAAAACCAATAAATAATGCAAATAAATAATGGCGACAACGAATAAGTTTTTTGGATGACGTTGATATGTCATTTTGTGTACTTTCATTTGAATAATATAATATTGATAAACGTCTACTCATACTTAATATTGACGTTGTCCATTCAGCACCAGCTTGGGGTAATAAACTAATTATTGTTAATATAAGTAAAGTGACAAAAAATATATAACGTGCTGACTCAGTTTGCCATTCTACAAAAAAAACACAACCATCAACTCAATTATTCGATCATTTGACAGAAAAGAAAAGGCTAATAATATACCTTGTTGTTTTTCATTTATATGCATTGTTAAATTAAGTAAAATTGATTTTGGTGGTGGTTTTAATGATTGTCCATTATCATCTTGTTGATCATTAAATTGAAAACATGGTATTAATAGACATGGGTGTGAACCAATTAAAATATATTCTCGTCTATATTGTTGAAATAAAATAATAGCAAAAAGAAAAAGTCCACCTATAGTTAATGCTAAATGACATAAAGAATTATAAATAAATGCAAATATATTAAGTCGTGTTGTTAAATTTTTAATACTTTGTATTGGTAATGATGTTGATAATTGTAATATATGATCAAATGATTTTATTATCATACAACTATAGCTAACACCACTTATACCAGCACTTATAAGTAATAAACGATAGTATGAATGAAAATATTGCATTGTTACCCATGTACCAGTAAACATGGTTGCAAGAACAATTAATATTTGTGAACAACGATCGTATGCAATAACACTAGATATTGTCCAACGATATCGAACTATATGTATGCGTGATGCATGCGCAGCTAAAAGAATAGCTCCAACAAAGGCACATAAATGAAATGTTAATAATAATTGAAAACTGTCTTCATTTGAATATATAGATGTTTGTAAAACTTCAGTTGAAAAAAGACTAGCAAGTGCAAATACAGATGCAAATGATCGAACAATAACAATTCGATATACAGATGTCATTGACATTGTTGATGTATTTGAACAGTCGTTACTATCGCCAACAGATTCAGGTACAGCTAAAGAACTACGTCGTGATACGGGATTTGTTGGTGGTAATGTTGTACGTGATCTATAGTGAGCTGGTCGGAGTGCATGGACTGGTGAATCAAGTAGAAATGTTGCATTTTCTAATAAAAGATCATTATCAGGCGAACGAACAGCGGGTTGACTTATGCTCCGTTTTAAATTCTCATTGGTATAGTTTACGTATGGATCATGTACAGTATAAAGTGATCGAGTTGTATGAGCATAACCATTCATTGAAGATCCTGATGATGACGATGATAGCATTTGTATACGATTATTCATACGAATATGATCATGTTTTGATGTATTTATAGCAATTTGATAACTATTACGACGTGGTTGAATGTCATTCATAATTGATGAATAATATCGACGATGATAAGGCGAACTTGCAAAAGTTTGAATAAAATAACCGTCTTTATCATTCATGTTCATTTTGGTTCTGAATATGACATAAGGAAAAAAGAAGAAAAAGAAAAAAAAACAACGAATTTGCTGTCTTTCTAACACTAAATTTGTCGTGATGATCGAGACACTTGAGTAATCCACTCGAGCATCCCTTGAGAAGGATTCTCTTTCTAATTTTTTTTGTATCCGTTGTTGTTGAAACAATCTATATTTTGCTGTTTCTCTCTTTCCATCTGTCTAATTCTTCGATTATTACTTATTCGTAACATTCAAAAAGAATATATACATACATAAGTACCAGAATTTTTTAAAAACATTTAACTTATATAAACATAGAATCATGTCATTCGCATTAATGGATGTTCGTGCTACATCTATCCTAATTTTTCGTAATCAGTGTCTGTCAGTTAATCTTCAGAGACTGGCGTGTATGGCAATGACATGTTCACATTTACTTGACACGCACAATTAGCATATACATATACAAACTTACCTATATTTTTTTCTAATCTATTGTAAGGCAATGATGCTGAATCTTTTTCTTTTTTTTTCTTTTATCCGATTGATCCAATGTGAATGAAGATCCATCATCATCAATTCTGTTATATTAACAACATAACACAACCGACCGGATCGTCCTGATCTGGTAAACAGAATCGATCATGGTAGTGGCACATCTCTCTGAAATTCTCTCCAGCTTTTTTCGTTCTAACCATCATCAACATCATCATCATCGTCGGAGTCGGCATCATGTTCTCTGCTACTCTTTTCCTTTTGTGCTTACGCGTTATAAATTGTAAAGAGAGGAAATAGCTCACTTGTTTAGCATTCTTTTTCTCACACTATTTTCCTTCTCTTATTTTCTTTTTGCTGTGCGTTGAGAAAGAAGCGCGCGCGCAAGAGAGAGAGAGAGAGAAGAAGAGAATTCCGTTTATATTGAATGGTACTAGTTAGGATCCGATCGCAGCGTACAAATGAAGTGAGTCTTCGTCAGTCGGCAAGCATGTTTGAAACAAAAGAATGAGTCGATTAGCGATGACGGGCCAACCTCTTGATTGAAGAAACCTCCACTAACGTTAGTGGCATGTATGTTCATCATCAATTTCATTAGTTCATCATTCTTTCTCCGATCAATTCCACTTAGTTTCTTTCATGTCTCTATTTTTCTCTACACATATCTTTCGCTTAACAATTTAACAGATATTTTTCTTTCTTTTTTTTTTGCTCATTCTCAAGGCGATATTGACTTGTTGATGAGTTCGTCTTCATATCTTTTTTTCATTTTCCGCACTATATGAATTACAATCGAATCGGAAATACGCCTTCTTTAACACATACAGAAAATTTTATCAACTATAAGGCATGGTGGAAAATCAAGACAATGACGGTAATATAGACAAGAAATAAAAGTGTCAAATGAAGAATATCTTGTCCACTACTTGAATTATTTGGTACCATTGTTCTCCAATTCAATTGACTTATATATGGTGAACGTACTGTCTTTGCTTCATTCCATGCATGATAAACAAGATAGGTAGTTTTCTTATCACGTCCAAGAATAATTGAATTATGTCCCGGTCCTATAATAATACCTTCTATTGAATGTGTGATTCGAGCTTGATTAGTTGAATCTTCTGTATAAGGTCCCATTGGTGATGAATAAGCTACACCATAATCAACACCATACGATGTTTCTTGCCAATTACCACCACTATAAAAACATATATAAACTCCTGAATCTTGTTGCCAAGTAGCGGCACCTTCTAACGTATACCAATCATATATATTATCATAAATTGATCGATTACGTTCATAAATTTGCCAATCATGTCTAGCACGTAAAACAATTGTTTCATTTCCAGCTAATCGAGTCATGTTATCTATAAGACGATCAATAACAATACCTGTTCCTACACGATAACCATTATTTGTATCAAGAAAATCTCGACTATAGAATAAATACCATTGTCCATCTTTTTTATCTCGAAATGGATGAGGATCAATAGCAAATGAAAGTTTTGTTACATCAGTTAATTCTATAGATTGACTATCATTATATGGACCAAGTGGAAAGGTTGATGATGCAACACGCAAACGATGTTTTTTCTCTCCAAATCCAACTGAATAAAATAAATAGAAAATATTATCTTTTTCAGCTATTTCAGGTGCCCAATATGCAGACGGTTGATCAGATTGATTTATCACATCTAAAATATCACCAGAATAAGTCCATACTATAAGATCATCAGATCTAAGTGATGGAAACGTAGCGTTATTTTTACTCAAACTAAGACCAGTACCAATCATATAATATGTTCCATTGAATTCAAATGCAAATGGATCTGCTAAATAACCTGACCATACTGGCTTTTTAGGATATTCATCAATACTTTCTGGTACTAAAGTCGAATTAATATTAATGATTATAATAAAAAGTACTATACAACTTATTTGAGTTGCGTATCTCATGAATTACTATGTTATAAAGATATAAAAAAAGTGAATGACGTTGATAAAGAATACTGTTTTATGTTGCTTTTAGAGTATTTCGTTGTTTTATTTTTTATTATACTTTCAACATGAATACAAAAGAAAGAAACATGATACTACTAATCTCATGTTAGGAACATTATTTAGTTTCGAAGAACAAAAAAAGAAACAAAAGAACAGAAATAGTAAAGTCCATTGTGTCTTTTTCTTTCGTTCTATAATATAAATGAATGTATACGAGCGACATGATCTACAATATATATATAATTGGTTAACCAAATATACCATTAGATAAATGTTGATTCATGATTCTTCTTCTTTCATATCTCTTCTTTTTGTTTTTTAATCATTTTGAGAATGGATTCTGCAGGTAGAAAAGTCATTGTATGCGATAATGGTACTGGCGTAAGTATTTTAGTATTTCGTATGAAATATATTTTTTCAATTTGTGTTTTTTTCTTGTTTTGTAGTATATTAAATGTGGTTATTGCACGTCAAATTTTCCTGACTTTCATTTTCCATGTATGGTTGGTCGACCATTAATTCGTTCTCGTGCTAAAGTAAATAATATTGAAGTTCAAGATATAATGGTTGGTGATGAAGGTATTCAAATAAGAACAAAATATCTTTGTTTTTGTTGTTTTAAACTTCTATCTTAATTTACTTCTAGCACAAAAAGTTCGACAAATGCTTGAAATAAATTATCCTGTTGAAAATGGTATTGTTAACAATTGGGAAGATATGAAACATATTTATACTTATCTATTTGGTCCAACAAAAATGAATATTAATCCAAATGAAGCTAAAATTTTATTAACAGAAGCACCACTTAATCCAGTCAAAAATCGTGCTAAAATGTTAGAAGTTATGCTTGATCAATTTCAATTTCATGAATGTTCATTAGCATATCAAGCAATATTAACATTATATGCTCAAGGAATTTTAACTGGTGTCGTTGTTGATATTGGTGATGGTGTAACACATATTTGTCCTGTTATTGATGGATTTTGTTTACAAAATTCAATTGCACGACTTAATATTGCTGGACGTGATATAACAAGATATTTAATTCGTTTATTACTTCTTCGTGGGGTAAATAATATACTGATTACCAACGAGTGGTCAATAAACATATGAATCTCGCAGTATAAAACGAAAGAATGTTAAAGATAACCATATGCACAAAGTTTCGGATCGAGCTTGATAAAAGACAAAGAATTTTGAAAGCGAGACATTCTGAATCTATTCGTTTCATTGAATCTAAATAAATAAGGTCTACTATTTCGTTTGACGAGAACTATGCAAAATCTTAAGAGATCCATTCTTTGAAGCTATCCATTATTAAGAGAATATGTTTTTCTATTTAGATAAGAATGAATTAGATTTTCGTTAATTAATTAAACAGTGAAATTAAGTTTCTAATGATAATGTCGCCTGATAAAACAAATAAAATTTTGTGATTATTCCTAGTCTAAAGAAAATATTGGATACCTGTAAAAATTATGGACACCCGTGATTACTTTGATTTTTACTTATACAAGATGTTGTACAACTAAATATTGAGGTAGTTAAGGATAACTTTTGAGAATGCATATGATTATCTTGGTTTTAATTGTAACAGATGACGCTTGTTATCTTGATATTTATTTGTAAAACATCTTGTATAATTAAAAATTAAAGTAACCATAGATGTTCATGGTATATTACAGTTCTAAAAAAACCCACATCTTACAATAGATGTCCGTAATTTTTACAGATACCCGAAAACATTATTGTTCATATAAAATAATTGAATAAGTATGCTTTCGAAGCCAACAGTACTAGTTTTCATTATGTCAAGAATATTAAATAAATTTCTTCTAAGAGTCTGTTATGAAATCAGTCATTTTTTTATTTAATTTTAGTATGTATTCAATCAATCGGCTGATTTTGATACTGTTCAACAAATAAAAGAAAAACTTTGTTATGTTGCACATGACGTTGAAGAAGAACGAAAATTAGCATTAGATACAACGGTTTTAGTTGAAACTTATACATTACCTGATGGTCGAGCAATAAAATTGTCTGGTGAAAGATTTGAAGCACCTGAAGTTCTTTTTCGTCCATCATTATTAGGTTTAGAAGTAAAAGGTGTTGCTGAACAAGTATTTAAAGTAATTAATAGTGCACCTATGGATGATCGACGTAAACTTTATAAACAAATTGTACTTAGTGGTGGTACAACAATGTATCCAGGATTTGGTACCCGTCTTGAAAATGAATTAGAAAAACTTTATAAAGAACGAATTCTTAAAGGACAACCAGATAAATCAGCAAAAAATGTTATTTGTATTGAAGCACCACCGCGTCGAAAGAATATGGTCTTTTTAGGTGGTGCTGTTTATGCTAATTTAGTTAAAGATGCACCAACTCAATGGATATCTCGACGTGATTATGAAGAACAAGGTATTGAACGTTGTGTACAACGATTGAACAAAATTTGTCCACGATAGAAAAAAAAATGAAAGAGAATGATTTTGATTTGAGCATCTATTTAAAACAATAATTCCAATTAGTCATATGCGATTTTTTTTCTTTGTGAACTTTTCTGCTAGTGCAATTTTTTAATACGAGTGTGTTTCTTTGCTGTTTTTTTTTAAATATTTTCTTCTGTTGTAATTCTTTTCATTTATTTATCATCGAATGAACTGCACTTGTAGATCATTATCCTTAATTTTTAATACACAATGCCTGATCGTACTCGTTGTGCCTCAATTATATTGTTTATAGTAAGCATTGGATTTATGGTTGCTGGTGTTCTATTGATAGTTCTTGGTGATTCAGTTATTAAAAAGATTGTTAAAAATGTATATAATACTGTTCTTTTTTTCCTTTAAATTTTATTTGATTCTTTTTACGTCTATTTTTTGAATCGAAAAGGAATGTCAATTGAAATCAGGAACAATGCTTTACGATGCTTGGCATGATTCTCCTGTACCATTATATATATCATTTTATGTATTTGACCTTAATGATACAGAATTTCTTAACGGTACATCAAAACCACGTCTTAAACAGCGTGGACCATTTGTCTATAAGTGAGTTTGATCACAAACAGTATTCATCATTAGGAAATTTACATGACATTTTGTTATTTTGTTTTTCTGTAAAGAGAAGAAAGACAGAAAACAAATGTCGCATGGTATACGAATGAAACAATTTCTTATCAAGAACCGCGCTCATTTACATTTGATCCATCACGATCAGCTGAGCTTGAAACAGTAAATATTACTACAATTAATCTTGTTTATATGGTAAAATAGAGTGTTGTCTATTTAATGTCTTGCTAATATTATATTTCATAGACATTAGTGAATTATCTTCAAATGGAAGATGTTCCTCGTACATTTCGACGTATAGTTGGAGACTTATTATCTGCTCAAGAAAAACCAATTATGAAACGTTCTGTAAAAGAGTACATTTGGGGTTATCAAGATCCATTACTGCATATGCTTAAAAGTGAATTTCCGAGCATTATCACTGACGATGAAGTATCAGCTTATTATTTAGCGGTAACGACATATACATTTATTCTTATCTTCATTCATTAGATCAGTTTTCATGAGAAATTCATACAGTATTTACAAGCAGTTGTAGCATATTTTTAAGACTATATAAGTTTCTAGAATCATGCATAATGTCCTAAAAGCTACAATATAAGAAGAAAATTGAATAGCTCCCTCATAGGTTTATCACATGAATTGGTTTTTTCTACTGGTGCTTAAGGACACTTCCAGGTTCAATACACAACGGACTTCTTTTTTGACATTCCAAAATCAGTACACAGAGTGTCTCCTCTATTTTTCCAATGTCTTTCATTACTGTTCTCCTCTTATTATTTAGATCCCTTTGTCTTCTCCTATAAACATTCATTTGGCATCTCTGGAAAAGTCAGACACATTGCTCTCAAACCGAATAGCTATGAAAACTCAAAAAACTATGTTAATTCACTCAATGCACAGTCCATGAAGATTTTTAAAGGGGGAAGAACAAACCTTTTTGAAAGAAATATACAAATTACTCTAGCTTTTTTTCCAGAAATGTCAAATGAATGATTATAATGGAAGAGAAAGATACCTAGATAGTTAGAGATTTACAATAGCGAAAAAAGCTTAGAAGAAATATAAGAAAAACCGTATATACTGTTTTTCGAATGTTGAAGAAGAAGTTCAGTCGATAGAACCATTATAGAGATAGTCGAATGATTTTTTTTTGGATGGTTCTACTATCCAGTCGTTTGCTTTAGTGCAGCAAGAAGAGAACATAGAAATATTTAAATACAAAGTCAAGTTATGAAGAAAAACGTTATCAACAGCACTTGTGTTATTTTAGAACTCTTAGATAAAGTCGAATGATAAAAAATAACGAAATTTGCTTTGTTAATTGTAAATAATTTATTGTCGATTAATCTAGATACGTGAATCTCGATCAAATATATTTTTAATTAATAATGGTGTTGGTATTGATACAAATCATGCTGAACGTATTAATAATGTTGGTCAAGTTGAACGGTTCAATTTTGAAAACAGCTTACCATTTTGGTCGAATGAATATGCGAATATGATTAATGGAACAGATAGTACAATATGGCATCCATATACAACAGATACTGAACGAATTTATACATTTATATCTGACATTTGTCGATCAGTTTATCTTGATTTTAAGGAAAGACGTACTAATAAATATAATATTAAAAATTATCGTTATACAACACCAAACAGTGTATTTGCAAATTCAACAGAAAATGAAGGTTTTTGTTTGAATTTTACAACTTCTAATAAAACACATGAATTGGAATGCTTATCAAGTGGTCTGTTTTCCTTAAGAACGTGTCTACGTTGTATGTTGAGTCATTCTAACTGGAAATACTGATTATTATTATTATTATTATTATTATCTATTTAGTAACTGATAATTCAACACCAATTGCAATACCATTACCCATCATTGGATCAAGTCCACATTTTCTTGGAGCTGATCCTTCAGTACAAAATGGTGTTATTGGACTAACACCCGATGAAATAAAACATCGTAGTTTTATGGATATAGAACCACTTACTGGCAGTAGGTGTTCAATAGTTTAAATGAATAAAAAAATGACATCTGTTTTTCGTATATATTAGTTGTTATGAATGGATCTCGACGGCTACAAATCAATCTAAATGTTATTAATGATTCAGCCATAAAGTATATTTGAATATTTTTCTTTGATTAAAATAATAATTCACAATATTTCAGTGCAATATCTCGCCTAAATCCAGTTGTTTATCCCATGCTATGGATTGATGAAGTGAGTACGAGAATAAACGATATATTACATAAAGAAAAATATTTTTTATTATTATTTCAGCATGCAGAAATCGATAAACCTAATGCGAATAAATTTTCCAGAAAAGTAACTAGACCAATTACGGTACTTCATGTTATGAAATATCTTATACTTGGTATTGGTATTGCTTTATTTATTTATGTAATTGCTTTAATAGCCAATAGTCTATATAAAGTATATTGTTAAAATTGATTTTTCATGGTTTTTTATTTGTTATTATTATTTATTTTTATAGACATGTACATCTGGTCCTGCTTTTCCAAAACCGAATGTAAGTGAAACATCGGCATTACTCTTTTGAAAAGAGAATTGATGGTAAATCAAAAAAAAAATTTTCCTTTTCGATTTTTTCAAATTGCAACTGTTTTTCATTTGACAATCATTTCTTATATTTTCTTGAATACAACTATTTTTTATTTCGTTCATTTTTGTATATAAATCTACGCATCAATGAAAAGATGTCAACATCAATAGTATTAACGTACATTTCCTTTAATGTTACTTTTTTATTGTAATTTTTTTAATAAAGTAATGAACAAACTTTTTCAATAATAATAAAAACTACTTTTTGGGAGCAAAAATCCCATATGGAATGGAAATCTTCAGATTAATCCAATATACAATTAACAAGAATTTTTCTCTCCCACAATATCCATAATATTGACAACTATTGAACAAGTAATTATTTAATGACTAGATCACTATTTATATAGAAAGTAAGTTCTAACGAAACTAAAAAAAAATCCAAAATTCAGAAATATGTAATATAACACTATGGGCATATTGTTAAATAATTACCTAGAGTTCAGTTTGAAATAAAACTTGAATAATACTAATTGAAAAGTAAATACTTAATGAGAATAATGTCGTTTATTATACTTTGACAATAAGGTTGGAATTTTCGATCTTTTTTGTGTACTCAAAAAGTGAGTACACTACTAAAATCGGTCAGTGTGTCCGGCCGTTTATTCGATAACTCTTCATAATTACATTCGATTGAGCTGAAATTTTGTGCACAGAATTGTCTCATCAATATCTAGGTCGATTTCGAAGATGAGAAGGATCCGTCAAGAAATGGCTGAGTTATCGAAAAAATTGTCATTTTTGATCAGACCATCTCTGAGGGAGAGTACAGGGATTTTTGAAAAAAAAAATTTTCTCAGAATTATCCACAACATATATAAATCGACTCAGTTTTTAACGCTGATCCTGAATCTGATATTAGTTTTGAAAAAAAGTGTAGTTTTCTAGCGAAACATTGACTGAAAAAGGTCTCAAAATACACAAAAACTGCATCTAGAAACCAAATTGCCTAGATATGTCTCAGATGACCAGCAGTTTGGGGGTTTCCCAAATGCCTGGTTTTGTAGCTAGTCAAAAGAACTATCGAAAGGTAAAAACCCTAACTCGATAGCTATTAATATTGTTGATTTATTAGGAAAATACTGATGCCTGTATCTATGATATATCTCTTATAGATTTATGAGGTTGCTTACGATCGTAATCCCGCTCCATACAAACACAAATCCATTCAAAAATAACTCTTCTTACCCAATTTTCCAAGCTAAACACGAATCTGAACTCAATTCCTGTCATTTCTAAAGATATAATANTCTACGACAACTTTTGTTCTACTCATCGAGGTCTATCTACCCTGAAAGTTTCAGAAAATTTCGTTGAGCCGTTCTCAAAAAGTGGCGGAAAGGGGAGGGGTCCCCTTAAATAAATTTTCTGAGAAATCTGATTGGTAAAATATTCGGAAAATAAAACAAAATAAAATCTTTCAAATAGAATACTAGTAATGAAAAATTAAAGTAAGTTCATATTCATGAAACACTTGTAGCATATGAAAATATTCTTAAAATATATTTTTGCACGAGAAGGATGTGAACGTTTATATATTCAAAGTGATCTTTATCATAGAGAGTACCTTGCATATTATGTACCTTATTCTTTTTTATATTAAATGTTACAACTCATAATATTAGGAAAGAATTTCGAAAAAAACCAAAAAAAGTTCATCACATAAGAATAAATGAAGGACTATGTTCATCTTCATCATATGACATATTAAACCAATGAGAAAAGATAAATAACGACATACTTCCAATTAGAAATTCATTCAGTCATTAAGAATTTCGACTATTGAACAATATATGATCGTTGTTCTTGTTGACGGCATCGGTCAAATAGGAAAAGTGAATATATATATATACCTTTTTCAAGGAGGACATACATAATCAATAGACAAATGAAGATAAATAAGAAAGATTCATATATTAAGTTAAACGATTTACCTGATGAAATTCTTTTGAATATATTCAAAAAACTGAACAATGTTGATTTACTTTATTCATTTTACGGTGTCAATGAACGACTAAATAAAATTCTACACGATCGAATATTTACAAGTCGTTTGAACTTTCTCAAATGGTCATCTAATTTACTTATTAATAGATTTTCATCTGATATCATACTTAATCGATTTTGTTTACAAATTTTACCCGAAATATCTATGAAAATCGAATGGCTTGATCTTGAATCATCATCTATGAAATATATTCTATATGCTGCTGATTATCCTAACTTAAATGGACTTAATCTATATAATATTGAAGATAAGACAGCTAAATGCTTTTTTACAGGTAAGCAAATCTCAATAGAATCGTTTTTATTCGAAACAAATGAAACATATGTGAATACTTTCATCATATTATCAATAGAATTGAATAGATCATTAAATGTATTGAATTACTTTCATTTCTAATTTATATTTGATTATGAAGTTTTAAAAGAAAAACAAAAGAATTATTTGGAAAAATTAATCGAATGAAAAAGAGAATATTGAAAATATTCTTAATGAGTAGAAAAGAATATTTTAAAAATAAAGATCATTATTTTTAATAAATTCCTTCTAAAATATATTAGAGGAGATAATTGATACGAATGAGNGATAATCAATCAGAATAAATGCAGGACTATGTTCATCTTCATCATATGACATATTAAACCAATGAGAAAAGATAAATAACGATATACTTCCAATTAGAAATTCATTCAGTCATTAACAATGTCGACTATTGAACAATATGTGGTCGTTGTTCTTGTTCACGGCATCGGTCAAATACGAAAAGTGAATATATATAGATATATATATACCATTTTCAAGGACACAATCAATAGACAAATGAAGATAAATATGAAAGATTCATGTGTTAAGTTAAACGATTTACCCGATGAAATTCTTTTGATTATATTCAAAAAACTGAACAATGTTGAAGTATTTTATTCATTTTACGGTGTCAATGAGCGACTAAATAAAATTCTATATGATCGAATATTTACAAGTCGTTTGAACTTTCTCAAATGGTCATCTAACTTATTTATTAATAGATTTTCATCTGATATCATACTTAATCGATTTTGTTTACAAATTTTACCCGAAATTTCTATGAAAATCAAATGGCTTGATCTTGAATCATCATCTATGAAATATATTCTATATGCTGCTGATTATTCTAACTTAAATGGACTAGGTCTATATAATATTGAAGAGAAGGCAGCTAAATGCTTTTTTACAGGTAAGCAAATCTCACTAGAATCGTTTTTATTCGAAACAAATGAAACATGAATACTTTCATCATATTATTAATAGAATTGAATAGATCATTATATATATTGAATTACTTTCATTTCTAATTTATATTTGATTATGAAGTTTTAAAAGAAAAACAAAAGAATTATTTGGAAAAATTAATCGAATGAAAGAGAATATAGAAAATATTGTTAATGAGTAGAAAACAATATTTTAAAAATAAAGATCATTATTTTTAATAAATTCCTTCTGAAATATATTAGAGGAGATAATTGATACGAATGAGAAATTGGAGATTGATTCGAAGGGAAAAATTCCTTTCTCAAACATTCTCTCACTCTTTCCACTATTTGTGTTAATCTTCATCTTTGATTATAATGAATATATGTAATGTTGATTATTTTATGTAATCTAATGTACGTGTTTAGATCAGAGACTTTCATCTGGTATATTTAAAAATCAAATAATAAGACTTATTATTGGAATTAATCCAAATGAAAATGATCTTGAGACAGTGGAAAACATATGCACTGATATTTTTACTGTATTTACCAATTTAACTCATTTAATATTTTGTGATGCGAACTATAATAATATAGTTCGATTATTATTTGATTTTCCATGTCCTAGGTTTTCTTCTTCGTCTCTTTTGTTATTAAATATCAAGGTTCAAAATTTTTCTCAGTGTCTTTATATTCTGGATGGTCGTTTCAATCAACTTCATACACTCTATATTGATTTAGCTAACATTCATCCACCAGATGAAGAAATTGAAAATAAAGTTTGTTTTCCAAGAAGAAAGATTTGCTTTTTATTTTTTTGTTTTTCTCTAGAGAAAAATCGCAAATCTGAAATGTTTTTTTTTGTCTTGTGCTTTGAAAACATCACGCTATGATCAATTAATTCTGTCACTACTTTGTCGAATGTCAAATTTAGAAAGACTTGGTTTGTATTTGACGATCAGTGTTAATGAAAGATTTATTGATGGAAATCATTTGAAGGAAAATATTCTTAATCATATGTTACTATTAAATCAATTTATATTTGATATTCGTTCGCTTATGTTTATTAATAATCAAATCAATTTGCCATCAAACGAAGAGATTCAAGGCACATTCACAGATTTTCATTATACGAAAATAATATCGTGTGTTGATTACTTTGTTGAGCGAAAAGAGGGTCAATGTCATATTTATTCATATCCATATTCAATGGTATATTATCATGATATAACGAATAATTTTCCAGGTGGATTATTCAAATGTGTTCGAGAAGTGTCATTATATGATGAACATCCATTTGAACATGATTTTTTTCTTCGAATCTCTCAATCATTTCCATTTCTCGATCAATTATCTTTGATTAATCGTCATGCACAAAATTATAAACAATCTTCTAAATCAATGAATGATAATAAGAATTTATCTGTTGTTAAATATTCTTATCTTAAAAGTCTTCGTATTCGACAAGTTCATGATGATTATATCGAAGAATTTCTCTTTCATACGAAAACATATTTTGAAAATATTCTTCTTGATGTCGATTATAAAGCATTAGAAAGAGTAACAGAGAATTTTACAAGAGACGATACACGAATTAATTCGGCCAAAATAAATGAAATATATTTATTTGGAGATGTGAAATATCCGAGATTTTTACACCATTATTTTCCTTTTGCAAAAATACATTGATTATTATCGTTTGTTATTCATTATCAAATAGATTATTAATACATTGAAAAAGAAACAATTAAACAAAATGAGAAGAGATCTATTTTCGTTATTCTTTTCAGAAATTAATGTATAGAAACAAATTAATATGATTATGTATGAGAAGATCTTATGTTTCAAATAAATTGATTTTATTTTATAAGACTATTTATGTAATGCAAGACGTTCAAGTGTTGACAAAGGAATTTTAACTTTACATTATTAGGAAACAAACCGATTTTTAATGCTAAATATCACATGAAATCATCCGAAGTCAGGAAATTAGATTGTTCTCTGTTGATTTATTCGCAGATATCTTTCTCAGTATGAATGAGAAGAAAATCGTCATTAAAGAGATGATTTCCAATGAAATAACTTCAGAGTGGCTCAAATCTAAGGGACCATAATGGATATTTCATCATAACTAATGTGAATTTCTGGTTAACTCTATATGAACTGTAGTCAGCAGCAGTCAACTTCAGTTTCAATTCCTTTCAAGTCCAGTCAACTTGAGAAGTCGCGTGTGACTGAAGTTGAAAATCGATGCAGCCTTAGTTATTTATGTTTTTCTTGAAGCAGTCTATCAAGCAATGTGAATAATAGTCAATAGAGTCAATCGAAAATATATGCAACAAAAGAATTTCAGATAGTATCTCAATGATAATTAGTCATGTTATTGAAGAATAAACTATGTAAATCTACATATTGAAGAGAACAAATAATGTTTTTTTTTATTGCAAGCAAATTCTTGAAGTTTGTTTTGTTTATTTTTTTCCAGTATCTTCGTTATTGTTTTCACCTCCATTGATTTTTCTTTTTCCATTTTATAATTATCATAATTTTCAGCTGTTATTTCAACATTAATATCAATCTAAATAGAAGATTCGAGTTAAAGTTAAAAAAAACGACTTAAAATTCTAATTGAACTTGTATTGGTGTTTTATTTGATGAGGAAAGACGAGATTTCTTAATAGATGATTTCCATGTGCTTAATTCATCTATTGTTGATGTTTCATTAAGACAAGCTTATCTATAGAAAAAATATAAATATCGAGTGGCGCATAATGAATGGCGATCTCGGTATTTTATCGATATCTCCTTCAGTTTTAGTTGCTCAGGTTTCGACTTAGTTTTCATAGACTCCTTGTGCGATTCTCTAAAATGCGAGTCGTTGCAAAGAATTGCACGAAGAATCTTTTAAGATTAAGCAGAAATCTGAGCGATTAAAACTGAAGGAAATATTGATAAAAGCCAGAGACCGCCATTCTTTATGCGTCACCCGATATGGAATTAATCGATAGATGATGAACGTCTATATCAATAGATAATAATCTGATCTTCTTTGATAAGATTGTCATTTTTATCGTTATATACTTTGATCATGTTTTTGTTATGCATCGTTTTACTAAAGTATTTTGCCGTGAAATTCAGGATAAGGAGTTGTTTGTTTGGTCAGTTATTTTCCAATGGCTTTTTGCTTATTTTACGACTATACTTATGTATTTGTTAGAGAACAATATAGACTATCTAATGGTATAATAATACTGGCAGATCATGGAATTGGCTTTGTAGAACAGAGAAATGGAAAGATATGTGAAAAAAGATGTGACATGAATTTGATCAATTTTTAAAGTTTATTTATTTCATGTAGATAACAACTTATTTACAAAGAAAAGTAAGATGCTTAGTAACTATCAACTATTCTAATTATTAACTGAAGAGATATTGTTTAAGATGTTCCTGTTTAATAAAAGTTTATTCAATACTATTGTCGGCATTCATATTGATGTCAGAAACAGAGTCTCTATTTTCCTCTCTTTCGTATTTATCTGCATTCTTTCTATGATTTAGAAACTTTTCTAACAAAGGATCATTATTATTAAGCATATCGCAGTATTTATGATAATGTACAGTCATGTATTTCTTTTATTCACTTATATTTGCTTGCGACTGGTACCATAACGAAAATTGCCATGATCATGATTATCACTATCCTGGTTGGAACCAATGTCCATTTTATTTCATAACAGAGTTATTAATAACAATTGAATGAAACGCTATTGGCAAATGATAGCTCCTGTGTCAAAGTGTATAATAGACTGGTAAAAAAATAATAACTACGTAACAGTGGATTAGAAAAACCACAATAAACCGACAGATAATTATACGCGAAATAAATGGTTATTTAGATTTCCTAATGGCTTTTACTTTTTTCAAGTAGTTCCAATTGTAGGTTGGAGCCGGCTCTAGACGCCCACAGACACAATACATGATAAATATCTTTTGTTGTGTAGAACAAATGCGAAAGACTAAAAAACACCCAAAACAAAAAAAAAGTCAAATTTTCCCCCTGAATTTGACACCAAAGTTCTATAGGGTGTGGGTGTGGGTGGGTACGGGTGTGAGCGTGGGTGTCAGTGTGTGTGAAGAGAAAGCATCCACACCCATGCCCACATCTCACACCCACCCACACCCACACCCACACCCTTGAATTCGATATAAGATATATGTTAACATTGAATAGGAGGACAGAAAGTACTCAACAAAAAGGTTGAAATTAATTAATAAACAATAGTTGAAATATTTCTTGTATGTTAGGTCAAAGAGGTGAGTGATATGCTACAGACTTACCCATCTAAATAAAATTTTCTTTTCATGAATAAAAATCTAAATGTTTGGAAAGCATACATCATTTATATATTACATTGACTGAATTTTTAACGAAAAATAATCAAATTTTTCTTGTGTAAATGCAGCTGATATTGGTCTACTATATCTCTATTAGCTATAAATAAAATTGATTGTGACTCAGAATGAAGTAGTACATTCGATTTATTTTGATAAGAGAAATACTCTATCATTCTCTGACAGAATTCATATAAAATTATTCATAAATATTAAGATCAAAAAATATTTATCAGCTATAATTACACTTATCCGATTAAGCTAATAATCAATTATACAGTGAACTTTATAGAGTTATAATTTTCGTTAACAAACAGTTTGAATTGGAAATTGAATGAATCTAATAAAATACTTAGAGGATTCATATTATCTCTTCTGAATCGAACTTTACTGTCCCAAAAGATTTTATTCCTATAAATTGAACAAAGTTATACTGTGTGTGGAAATCTGTCTCCCAAAATTAAGGCACCATATCGAATTCCAAATCTAAATCTAAAAATTGGAAACCAAAAACTCTATCATACACCATCCTAATGCTTCACGTGATTCCATTTTTTTTTCATTAAAACTCTTCATAAAAAATTTAGCTACGACCTAAACATTAAATTCAAGCGAACATAATTCGATTGTTAATAAATATAGGCAATGAGGGAGGAAGAAAATCAATGAGTTGAAGAAATATAATCATCAAGCAGTATATGTGATCTATGCTGATACTGCAATAGTTAATCTTCTGGCCAAAGTATCCGATTAGATTTCTTTAAATAAAATCTTGTTGATATCCCCTACAACTCAAACATTTTTGTTTTACCATTATTAATATTATTTTTTTTTATCGAACAGAAAATAAAACATCTCACTACATTAAGTTTTTATTGCATCTGTTTGTGCCCTATCAATTTAGCGTTAAAAACTTATACAGATTTCATCGTTTTTTTGTTAAAAGACAGTACATTATACTACTGTATATAACCATATAATTTGATAATTATCTTAGTAGTAATGTAGTAATAAACAACTAGTGTCAGAAAACAATCAAAAGTTTTAATATAATTTTTACTTTTATATATCAATATGTGGTTCAGATGAGCACGATTGAATACAAATCCTTCATACACGTACACAATACACCATATCAGCCATTGTAACACGTATAGTGNAATTAATGATATAGGAAGAGGATTTGTATTGATAAACTTGACATTGATAACATACACAATTCTTTTATTAATTAAATGTATTAGAATAAAAAAAAATGATAGAAATTCCAAAAATTATTTCACTTGAAGATGCACACGATACGAAGCGAAGTTTATTGCTATTTTTTTTGAATAAGTCGAACAAGATGATCTTTTTGTCACAGAAAAAATAAAGAAATTTTTAAATCAAATAGTTTCACTTCATAACATCTGTTAAATTTATAGCATGATGCTGTGTTGACTTGTTTTTAGCTCTAAAAGTATGTAATAAAATATCCTCATGTCATTGGTTGAGAATGTAAAAATAAATCTTTCTCCACATTTTCATATCACCGTCATTTCTTTTTTCGCTGCAATCGCTTCATCATTTTTTTTCTTTGACTTTTCTTCACTATTCGTTTGTTCGCTATTTTCTTTCGCCAACTTAACACTGTTCAGGCAAAAGTGCATCATTGTTTTCGATTGACGAGATCGATCAAACAGAAGAAATGAGTCTATGTATATAAATATTCGCATTTATTAGCTAATGAAAAATATAGAAGTGAAGACAGATATGGAAGCTTCACCTCTTCAAATAAATGATTTACCTGATGAAATTCTGATGATTATATTTAAAAACATGTACAATACTGAAGTACTCTACTCTTTATTAGATGTTGATAAACGACTCAATAGAATCGTATGTGATTCGGCTTTTACGTATCGTTTGAATTTGCTAAGATTAGTTCCAAGTCATTTAATTGTGTTAACATCTTTATCAAGATATTTTATTTATCCACTACTTGATCCAATACTAAATTGGTTTTGCTTACAAATCTTACCTCAAATTTGTAATAAAATCAAATGGCTTAATCTTGAATCATCTTCAATAAGACGTATTCTTCGTTCTGCAAATTATCCTGCTTTATATGGATTTGGTTTATATAATATTGAAGCAAAAGAAGCTATCAATCTTTTTTCTGGTAAGATATTTGATTGTGACTATCACAATCATAAATAGTGACATTAAATCTATATATATCAAGTGAATTCATCCGAATCGGCTCAAAATTTCATTAATTAAAAAATTAAATATTTTGATAATCTTAAAATTATTCCATATTTTATTGATATCAATTAATAAATATGTATGAGAAAGATATCGTCATTAAGAATCAATTAAAATAAAAGGCAAAAAAAAAATAAAAATAAAAAGCTTCGATATTGTCTTCAACTTGAATTCTTCAAGAGACATTCTTGAAAAAGAAAATGAAGAATAAAATAGATGGTAAAAATGGATGATCGTGACAACTTAGCGTAATCCGTGCTGGGTTAAAATGTGAAACGCAATGTAATTAACTAAAGCCTCCGACACATTAGAAGATCCGGGGGTCTTCTATTTTGTCTTATCGTTCATAAGTTACAAGGAGGTCTTCTAATGTGTCCCTTAAAAAAGCTTTTTTTTGACAGTATCGCCAACAAATTTCGGTTCTAGTCAATTTTTGTCCAATACACCGTCAGTAAACGAGTTTATTTTATTTATTCCTCGTGCGTAGAATGAGAAAGAATCATATATTACCCTGTGAGAAAAGTGTATACGTGAAGTTAAGTTTTCTTCAACTATAAAAATCTGTTTTCGAATAAAGATGTTTCTGAAACTCTAGAAGAAATTTATAGACGAACAAGCTTTTTAATTAATACAAAACGAAATTTTATCAAATATGTTACTATTTTACAAAGATCTCTTCATGTGCTAGGCCCGAGAATGTTCACTCGGCCCACTAGATCATACGGTCATAGAAAGGTTTTTTCTCATATAGAAATTAATGAATTTTTCCAGAGTAAGCTGCAAAGAAGGACTAAAATGACTCCACGATATGGTTTAAAAAAAAAACATATTACTTTATACACAGTTGTTTCCTATTAGCTGTTTCTCAAGATTTTTCTAACTTGGAACTGACAGATCGTTGTCACGACGAAAAATATTGTTCATACTGAACTTAGACATCATTATGGACTTAAAT